TGTCGGTGTGAAAGAAAAGCAAATGGGAGACAGGGAGTGTGTGTGTGTCTTTTTTTTTGGGGGGGGGGACTGTAACGGTGGCGTGAGAAGAGATAGAGGTGGAAATTAATTATTGCAACGTCATGTAAATCATTAGTGGTTGATAATAGAGGAGAGAAGGGGATTACTTAACTGATGTGTAATCCCTTATAGAAGCTCCCCGTCCTACTCTTTTTCAGAATCATTGCTGCCAATCTTTGTCTCTCTGTGAGGTTAACCACACAGGCAGGAGGGCAAAGGGTGCAATCACACCCCCCGTGAACAGTTCAGCGTGCACATGCTCACATACGGAGCTCCAGTATGGGCCTATTGGTACAAACCCCAGACAGAACTGGGCCCTGTCTTACCAAGTGTGCCCCCTCCCTTCTTTTGCTGCCCAGAGCCTGATTACAGCCTACTGGCGGAGAGATTAAAACCCTCCCCCTTCCCTCCGTCACTCCACTGCTCCCCCACTCCACAGGCTTCTGCTGCAGCCAGACACTGTCTGCACATCTGGCCCCTAATCAGACAATCCCAAAAATAGACAAACAATTGTGGGTCAGAATGGATGTGCAGATGGGAAGTGAGTGAGACAGGCAGAGATAGGGAACTAGTGTGAGAGAGGTAGGCTGATGTCACATGGCAGAAGTGTCCACAGGCATATCAACTAATCCTCACCTCACCACACACACAAATAGCATGTCTGAGTGTACGTACATGCATTTGACATCTGGATTTAGCAATGGAGGGATTTAGAGGTATGGACAGCCTACATCTGTCCACTCCGCTCTGGATTGAAGTTTGTCCTTTCATTACCATTTGTTAAACTGCTAGGCGTATCAGTCTCCACTCACGCAAGGATCAATGGACATGCACACGGTTCATTGCAGGGCAGACTTCACATGTGCAGTCAAAAACAAATCTGTGTTGAGAAAGATGATGTGAGCCTACAGTACAGTGGAGTTGCAGTCGCATGATGCGAGTAAGGGGGAGAAAATGAAATTGCACATAGAAAAGAGGATTAATGAAAAATGAAAGCAGTAAGGTGTTATGGAAAGGAATAAACGGGCAGCATTCTGAGGGAACGTGTAAGGAAAAATGCAAGAGACAAACCAAAACAGGAAGAGAACATTCCTTGAATTTTCATAAAGACACTTACTTGCTTACCGGAAATTACTGGTCACATCACTCCACAGCTTAATGCCATCTAAACATTTCTGGTTCCTATTTTCTTTTGATAGACAGACAACAAACATGTTGACAGAGCCAAAAGCCAAGGGCGCCTCGAGGTGGGCAGAATAGGGAGATTTATGAGTAAGAAGATGAGTGATGTGGTGTTGAAGGAGGTGAAAATCTCTCCTGAAACCAAGTTCATCACTGGGTGACACTGAATGGTGAAAGGAGGCAACAACAGCATCCACATTTGCACTCACGCCTCAGATCATAACAACCCTGATATACTCTGTTTTGATCCAATCAGAGCTCATTTGCATGCAGGGTAACTATTGCTAATCCCCCCATCTTATAATTATTTCTGTGGGGCAACTGGTCAAATTACAGGCTGCAGCTACATCTATAATCATCAGAATAATCCCCCACCCCCCCTTTATAACACGGTCACAGTACAATGTCAGGACAGTTTTTGATCATATATATCGATCATAGCATATAGATCAATAATATTCAACGCAGATAATAAATGTGGGGTTATTTGAAAAGCACTGTGCTATCTCAACAGAGTTGCTTTTAAATAACCAGTGTGTAGGATTTAGTGGCACCTAGCAGTGATTGCAACCATCTGAATACAACTCCAGCATGTTCGAGAAACTATGGTGGCCGCAGAGTATCAGTGTTTGGTTTAACAAGGCCGCTTCTGTAGAAGAGGATCCGCTGCTTCTGTAAATTAAAATGGCTCATTCTGTTCTGTAATGAAAAAACAACAATTCTTATTTTCAGGTGATTATATACTAATGAAAACACTATGGATATTATATTCCATTTCTGCCAATAGATCCTCCTAAATGACACATACTGGACCTTAAAAGCATTATCCTTCCAGCTCTATCATTTAAGCATACCTGTTTAGCTTAAATGAAACAAGAAAGCTGTTAGTTGTAGTAAAAATATGAAAGATAAAAAAATGCATTCGGTTACGAGTCCTGATCCATGTTTTATTATGTTTCTTTTTTGTGGAGATATTAAATGGGATGGCACCTAAAACACACACAGTACTGACTATTATAGAGGATGACAATACACCAGTGATGATAACTTCAAGGAACACATCCTTAGGTTAATTCCAAGAATCAGGCATTTATTGTTTTTTTCCATTTCAGAACAGTTTCAAACTGATTTAATAACCCTGAAATTAAACTTAGATACAACAAATAAATAGAAATAGAAATGTAATACCGCCCGGATTACATGTATTATAAACACAATGATATATCTACTTATAGGAACGCTTTTTGTGGTATTATTCAGGCTCCCACAGCACTTAAAGGTTCAGGTTAGGGAAAGATTGTGGTGTTGGATTAATATGGCAAAAGTCAAAAACATGTTTACTCTTCACCAAGGTGCACTTGTTGACTAAACCTAGCAAGACTCAGGATGGGTTACTGGGGTCACAATCCTGCTCTTTCCAACACACCAACCTTCTCCCTACAACTAGTGTGGAGCACACACAGGTTCCACACAAGAAAAAAAGTTTCCAGGACACATTACATTTCCCCTTAGAAAGCAAATTAGAAAAACAATATTAGAAGTAACATCATTTCTAGAAGACAGGGTTGAATTGAAACTCTGAGTGATAAGAAAGGAGACAATATGTTCCTTTACCTGCATAACAGACTCTGGAATGTTCAAAAAAAGACTCAATGTGTCTTTGTTGAACATACTGAAAATGTAACCAGAAATGACATTTTGTCCAGCATTTGCAAGC